GTGTGTGTGTGTGTGTGTGTGTGTGTGTGTGTGCGTGTGTGTGTGTGCGTGTGTATACTGTATATAAGGTGGGACACAAGGACAGGAAGGGGGAAAGGGTATGAGGTCAGAAGAAAAGGGAGTAGGGAAGGAGAAGGGCTACAGTAGGTACTCCTTCTTGCCCTGGCTGGCGTCATTCCCATTGAGGAAGGCCTCTTGCACTTCACCATGTTCATCCAACCCACTGGCCTCATGGGTAAGATAGGAACCTGAGTGAACAGAAAGAGAGCAGGGGACAGAGAGAGAGAGAGAGGACAAGAGGGAGATTGTAGGGGGAAGGTTAGGCGGCAAAGCGTCATGATCATTGTAGTGCCATGCAGCAAAATCAAACCAGTCAGTGATAATATTACTCCGTATCATACCTTTGACTGATTAATTCATTAGTTAACTGATTGTTAGGTCAATACCAGGCAAGAATTGGCTCTCGTGTACGGTATGAGCCTACCAGCAGAAATCAGAGTTGGCGAATGGATGCGTGAATAGAAGAGTCACAAGGAGAGGAGGTAACAGAGGGAGGATAATAGAAGATAATAGAGAATAAAAGACAGGGAGGGAAGAGAGATTGGCAGAAAAGGGTGGAGGGAAAGTTAGGTGCAAGAGAACAATGGCACGTTTGCGTCACTCAGAAAACCCATTAAACTCATTTTACCACCCCTCAGGTCTGTATGATTAATGAATCGGTGTAGTACAACTTGTAGAGAGCAAGAACCACTCAAGTCATCTTCATGCTGGAGTGTCCCTTCACTCCACGGGTGACTGACATCCTTATTCGTTGCACCACAGAGGTTGACTGGCATGTTGACAGTCACTAGGGACCAAGACAAAGCCCTAATACCCTGTCTCAACACTGATTGGTTGTAATGGTCCTGTCTTCATGCTGATTGGCGGTCAAGCCATACTCACTGTTGACTGACGGTGTGTCTAGCCATAGGGTAAGTTACCCTGGTCGCAGCCTGCTGCACTATTCCTAGATCATTTCTTGGCAGCTTTAGTGCATAGTACGTGGCTGCCAACAAAGGGCACTTAAAAAGATAGGGAACGCGGCGACTCTGCTTTAATAGATGAGCCTTGATACACTAACATGTAGTCATAAAACACTGGGGACCACACCTACATTTCCCACCCAACCTTTTCTCTTCCAAGGTTGTTTATCACGGACAGTGCCTGGCTAGAGAGGAGCATCCTGTCCTGCATGCTTTCTGCTGACAATTTTACACAGAGTGTCACAGACTCTGAGTGTAACTAGAATCCAATAATATTTTCACAGCGCGTTAAGTCAGAAAGTTGAGAAAGGAGAAAACACGCCTGTGGAAATTTGATAAAATACCCCGATTCCCAAAAATGTGAGGTATGCTTGTGAGAGTAACTTTTGTGCCACCTGATATGTGAATTTGAGTGTGTCTGTGGATTACCTTTCTGTCGGACAGAGCACCAGATGGTGACAATGAGGACACAGATGACAGTGAAAACCAGCAGCGCCAGAACACCACCTATCACTGCATAGGGTACTGCACTGTGAGTCTCCACCACTGCACCAGGATCTGAGGAAGAGCAAGAAAGACAAATAGTGTGTGTGGGTAGACTGCATAAAGGGAAATGTCGAGAAAAAGGAAAAGAAAAGTGCTGGCAAAGAAACTGAGGGAAAAAAAGAGAGAAATGGATCAAAAATGAAAGCAGGCGAGATAAAAGAGAAAGAAAGGCAGCACATTCCATCAGCTTGGAAGAGGGAGCAAGACACGAGAAAAGCGAAGTCGATATCTTCAACCGAACTTGCATTATCACCTTTCATAACCCCCCCACTCACTCTACAGAATGCCAGACAGTCAAAATGAGTGAGAAAAGGGTGAAGAAATGAGGAGACTGAATAAAGGAATAAGTAGCCTATGTCAGCCACTGCAAAACCACTCAATTCAGGAACCTGTCAAGAGTACAATGCATTTTGAATGAGGGAAACTGTGTTTACACCTCAGCAGTACAGTCCTCAGAAATGAAACCAAACATTTCACCGCAAAATGAGTGAAGTGAGATCAAAACCTGGAAAAAGACAAGTTATGTGAAAATTTGCAGTATAAAGTTGCAGTTGTGGTAAGAAATAATGACGGCTAAAATGAGAAATGATGAAAGAAGCGCATGTTTGTATTGAAATGATTTGTCATTTGATATCTGATCGGTCATTCAATCAAACCGTCAAATGACAGAAAATGAAAATAGAAGAATTTGTTAAATCACACACACTCTCTCTCTCTCTCTCTCTCTCTCTCTCTCTCTCTCTCTCTCTCACACACACACACACACACACACACACGATTAGTGCTCTGAGATGTCATACTCCCCTTTAAGCAGTTTGTCAAAATTAAGATTACTCAAAAGTCAAAAGCTGTATTGTTAGTTGCACCTGTTGCAGATCATTTAGCTAAACCCAAAGGAAATGATTGTGTTTATGTGTGTCTTTATACAATTTCAGCAGTACATCCTGGCAAAACAACAACAACAAAAAAGACACTCAGGTATTTACATGCACACATGCAGAGATAGAGAGAATTAAGATAATTGGAATCAGCCTCGTTTCTCCTGAATTTACAGGACAGCTCTAATTATCCACCAGAGAGCTAACTTTAAATGTGTGCTTTTTGCAAGGATGTGAATTGTTCTTCACTGGATGGGGGAAAGGCCCCCTGACTCCCACATTGACACAAAGAAACCTTTTTTAGTTTTGAGCACTAATGAACCTATATGCTGTTGCATTTTTACAGAACATAATAAAGCAAAATAAGCTAGGGGTGAATTTCAAATGGTGCCATATCAAAGTTCATCCAGCAGAGCAATTCGAACTCCAGTGTTTACAACAGTATGGTACTATGTGCAGCACATGTAGCATGCAGCAAAGCTGAGCTGGTCAAGCAATGTCGTCACAGTAAGTTGTGTTTTTAAAATATATTGCTGGAAAGTTAATAACCACTTTTTACTCTTTAATCTTTAATTTTTCCCTTTTTAGTACATACATTAATACACCCAAAACTTTGTTAGGTACACCTTGCTAGTACTTGGTTGAATTGTTTTGCTTTAAGAACTGTCTTTAATTCTTATGGCATAGATTCAACTGGGTGCTAAAAACTTTCCTTAGAGATTTTGGGTTTTGATCTATTGGATTAAGATCCCGTGACTGGGCAGGCCGTTTGAGTACAGTGAACTTAGGGAGATGATTTGAGCTTTGTGACATGGTATGGTGTACTGCTGGATGCATCAGAAACATCAGAAGGTGGTGACACTGTGGTCATAAAGGGATGGACTTGGTCAGTAACAATACTCAAGTTATCTTTGGTGTTTAAACATGTTCATTTGGTACCACTGGGCCCAAGTTGTTTTAAAGAAATATTCCACACCCCATTAAACCACTACACCAGGAGACTGAACCACTGATACGAGCCAGGTTGGATCCATGCTTACACCAAATTCTGTCGCAGCAGAAATCGAGACTCATCAGACATGCCAAATTGTAGCTGGTAGAAATGGCACCCAGTGGGAACCACTTCTTCTGCTTTAGCCCATCTGCTTCAAGGTTGTATGTGTTGTGCATTCAGAGACGCTCTTCTGCACACCTTCGTTGTAACAGGTAGTTATTTGGATTACTATTGAGTTCCTGTGCTCTTGAAGAACTCTGGCCATTCTCCTTTGACCTCTGGCACCATTAAGGCATTTTCTCAGAAAGATATTTTCTCTTTTTTGGATGATTCTCTGTGAACCCTAGAGATGGTTGTGTGTGAAAATCCCAGTCAGTGGTTTCTGAAATACTCAGACCAGCCTATTTGGCACCAGCAACCATGATCAAAGTCACTCAAATCCCCTTTCTTCCCCATTTTCATGCTCTCTTTCATTCAGCAGGTTGTCTAGATCATGTCTAGAATGCCTAAATTAATTGTGCCACTGCTGTGTGATTGTCTGATTAGATATTTGCTAAAACAAGGAGTTGGACAGGTGTACCTAACAAAGTCACCAGTGAATGTATGGATTTATGTCTATGATGAATATCCTCTCATGGGTATACTCTATTTAGTGGTATAAGACTTTTTTTAGTTCATAAATAAGTACTTGCGTCATATTACCACAACATACCATTACACCATCCACTGGACTCCAAATGCAACTTCTTTTAATGCTTTTAGTGGCATATCGCAAATGAATCACAGAAATAGTTTTTGTCTGCTCTTTGACATGGTATTACTAGCATGTATAAAATATAACTCGTAAGTGTTGCAGATGAAGCCCATGCATCTCTGTCTGGCAGTGTATGTGTTATCTCGTTCTTTGTTGTTGTGAAAAAATTAATAAAACATATGTTTTTGAGTCTGGACTTGTGTCTGAGTTGCGGGCGATAACAAAAGCCTTTTGAAGGGCTGAGTCAGTGTAAGAGCTGGTAAAGCCAATAGAATGCAAGGACACAGAGTTATTGATGCAGCTCTTGAACCTTGATAGAGCGGAATTAAAACATGAATCATTAATACAGTGCTAACAGATAGATATCAGGAGGAGAAGAGAGACTTGTGGGAGAGGTGAAAGAAAAGAAGAGAAAGGAGAAAATTGAGGATCAAAATTGAGGACTTAAAAAAAATCCTTTCTCTACATGCATCTCTTGGACAAATGTCTTACTGAGCAACTTGCATCACTTTTCTGGTTTTGTGGATGACAAAGGACTTGCATCTATATTTATTACTGAGATGAATATTAGTTATTTGAGGAAACACAGTGAGAATAAGGAATATTTCTTAGGAGCCAAAGAAAAGCAAAAGAAAAGAAAAAAAACAGGTATACTCAAGAGATCCGTCTTTATCTCCAAAAATATGTTGTTAATCCTCAGTGGCCCAAAGCACCACAGGAAATGACTGACTAAAAAAATAGTTGTTTCCCTAAGGAGACCTTATGATACGCCACATTGACTAAACATCCACAAAACTGTCCAAATAGCAACTTTCTTAAGACCCTTTATGATATCTCCACACATGCCCAGCAGGTGAACAACCTCTACCTGTCACGGATAGTGACAGAGGCAACAGCAGAACAAGAAGAATGCTCCTGTTCTCTTTGCTTCATCTTTCCTTTTAAAAAAACAGAGAGCAGACAGAGAGGAGCTGAAGGTGTGGAAAGCAGGACGAAAACAGTGAGCATGTGCTTTTGTGAGTGAATGAGATAATTAGATTCTGTAGACGAAAAAAGATACGGCGTACTGAATGAGAGTGTGCAGTTATAAATATGCACACAGCAACCATGCTTATAGCTGCAGCGTAACACTCATCTGAGCAAATATGATTACAAACACCTGGATCCCTGATCTTTTCTACTTTCATGCTCTCCTTCTCTCTTTTGATGTACATTTGTGAGTCTGTGTGTGTATAAGCAGATAAAGGTTTGTGTAGCACCTTCTGATCCTGCCATAGGCTAACATTAGTAGCTTAAAACTAGGTGTGTTGCTAACTGTTAATGCAGATTCATTATCGGTAAAAAAACAGCACCGTGAAATCCTGCTTAGGCCACACACACACACACACACACACACACACACACATACACACGCGCGCACACACACACACACGTGTAAAAATGCTGACTGGGCAATGAGCGTGTGTTGGGGGGGGGAGCATCAAACAGCTAGTGATGAGAGAAGAGAGAATAGATGGTTGCGCATGGTGCATACCCAAGCGTCTGCAGGCGGGTTGCTCATGTGGATGCAGGGCAAAGGAAGGTTGCAGCAGTAAAGTGTGTGCGACTGCATGTGTGAGTGGAGGGAGGTGGAGTATAGGTAGGGCGGTGGAGGACACCATTGGAGAGAAGGAAATGACAGGGCGAGAGATGCAGCGACTATGACCTGCAAGAGCTGGGTCACAAGAACAACCAGGGAGAGACCCAAGTGAGATTAGGCACTCTGTCTTCTATCTACATTTGTGAATACATACACATATACATATATATATACATATATATA